AGTTGGAAATGGTAGTGTTCTAAGCATGTGTTATTTTCTTCACTGATCATGAGGATACCGACCCTGGGATGTACAGTATATGTTGAACATGTGTTTACTGTAAGGGAACGGTGCTTGAATACTGACAGGAACAAAAACAATTTAAAGAGGGATTGTGCCTCCTCAGAGAAGTGGCAAAAGGCTGAATGGGAGAAACACACTTCTGAGTAATAATTATTTACTGGCAATTGGAGATGTGTTGGAAATAATGTCAAATGAAGTATTCTACTTTTTAGTTTCTTGCACAGTTTTGCCAATAATAAATACACTGTCTACTCCCCAAAAGATGTGGGGACAGCTGAAAGTGAAAACCCATAAACCCATTTACAAACTTGTGTGCTCGTATTCAGGGCAGTTAATAAAGGTGCTTCAGGGAAGAATATGTTACCGCAGTTGAAAGGCTTATGCCCCAGTGTACTTCCTAGGGTCATGATTATCAATAAACTAATATTTGTAAAAATAGCTGGCACATTGTTGATGATGAAGTTAGTTTCTGGCCTGGTAAGAAGTATTGTTATCTACATCATGATATACATTGCTTTAGGACATTGCTTACTTAAGCATCAGTTTTCTTAGACACCATAGCCTACCCTTGTGTTCTTTGAGAAACCTGTTGAACTGCTTTTAAGCAGTAGGATGGTAATTATGAGCATGTGATGAGATCTATAACTTCACTTTGGTTTCTGTGTGAATATTGCTTTGCATTATGAAAAGCTCAAGTTAACTCTGTGCAGATGAATTTCATATTAGTTGTATTAACACATAAAAGTTTAAAGTTAAATGTTTGCCAGTGTTTTAAGAGCTACAAGCAATACCTTTGAGATACCTATTAGTTTGTTTTATGTAGAATAAGATAATTTAAAAATAATTTTTGTAAGTCAGAGAAACACAAACATCATATGATATTACTTATATGTGGAATCTAAAAAAATGATACAAATGGACTTATTTACAAAACAGAAACAGATTCACAGACATAGAAAACAAACTTATGGTTACCGAAGGGGAAAGGGGGGAGGGATATATTAGGAGTTTTGGATTAGCAGATACACACTACTATATATAAAATAGCTAAACAACAAGGTCCTACTGTATAGCACAGGAAACTATATTCAATGTCTTTTAATAACCTATAATGAAAAAGAATATATAGGTATGTATAACTGAATCGCTTCTCTGTACACCAGAAACTAACACAACATTGTAAATCAACTGCACCTCAATTTTTTTAAAAAAGTTTTTTTTTGTTTTTTTTTTTTGCGGTACGCGGGCCTCTCACTGTTGTGGCCTCTCCCGTTGCGGAGCACAGGCTCCGGACGCGCAGGCTCAGTGGCCATGGCTCATGGGCCTAGCTGCTCCGCAGCATGTGGGATCCTCCCGGACCGGGGCACAAACCCGTGTCCCCTGCATCGGCAGGTGGACTCTCAACCACTGCGCCACCAGGGAAGCCCCCAAAAAAGAGTTTTTAATGCAGAATGAATAACATAATTCACACTAATGGCATATTAGAGGAATATATTACATTTTTACTCATTGATTTCATAGTCTTAGAAATGTGAATAAGAGGCATAATGATGTAGAAACAAGAAATTAATTAGTACAAACAGAACTAAAGGATTGTAAGCAGAGATCATAATTTACCTCTTTTTATGCTTGCAACCCCTCCTAACACAGTGCCTTGCGTATGCATATTTCCTGGAAGAATCTATTGCTTTGGAAAGAGAGATTCAGTCTTCTTCTGTAGTGCAGACTTTGTTAAATCTCTTAGAATTGTTGTCTGTCTCATTTTCTTATGGTAATTTACTGATAAGACCTGCAACTACAGTGGATCCCATGGACAGAGCTCCATTCCATATCCAGCACCTATGGTGTGTGTGCCAGGCACAGTCAGTGAAAGGATGGAGTAGGACAGGCATCTTTTTGAGGTGCTTACAGTTCTATGGGTTTCAATGGTAGGACACTTCACTAAAGAGTAAATCTTCATGAAACACAAACAAGTTTCCATGAAGTATTTAAACACATGCTATTTTGTGGTGGGACTTAATATTTAAAATTTACTTGCAAAATGACACTAAAACTTTCCATTTGATTAAGAAAGATTGACAGTGATAAGTAAATAATGATTCTTTATCCCCTACAAGACTTTTCAAATTTTTATTTCAATTTTTACTATCCTCATCCACACTTCATACCACTATTGAAGAAATAATTTGGTTAGATAAAATTCTATTTGATAATTCTAAATGTCTCAGCTAAGTCAATTTAATTGTAATGTATGAAGGAGATTAAATTGTATCTCCTCTGATTCCTAGGAAATCCACTCACTTCCTTTTTCTTGTAAAAGTCATCACTCTGTAAGTACTCTGATTTTTTGGACTCTACAATTCTAACAAAGATTTGGGACCACAGTTAATCATATTGTAACTTTCTTTGTACTTATTTTGCCAATTTAGACACACATATTATTAAGAACACATAAAGTTTGTGCTGTGAATTTACAGTTCCAGGTGAGAAATTTGAAATTAAGGTAATGAAATGGGTCAAGTCAGAGACTTAACCTTATACGTTCAGAATGCCCAGGAGAATCATTTAAACAAAATCTAGTGCTAAAAATTAAAAGAAGATACAAAGTGCACATCATGTGCTTGTCCTGCTTTTTCATTTATTTATGACTCGTCCTTCCCCTGGCATTCCTTGTAAGTTTTCACTTCTCCTTTTCACCAAAGCAATCTGTATACAGCAGCCTGCTGTGTATGCTCAGTACCAATAGATTTTTCTCTGGAATCTTACAGGTTATTTTATTTGGATTTGTTAAAGAAATAAAAATTAACTCAAAAAATTTCAAGTCCCAGTTTGCCTCCCCAACCCTGATATTTCAACTCCTTATCATTTTTCTGTGTTTTCGCAGTTTTCTTGCAGGTTTTATTGTGAATTTCCTAGTCCTATTTGATGTATTTCTCTTGCTGCTTCTTTGAGAACAATTTGGGTTATAGATTTTGAGACGGTAAATCATGAGTTTTTTTCAAATGTTTTGTATTATAGTAGAACTAAGGGCTGACAGATGGCCTTTTGAAATAACGAGACAGTGATTTACATTTCCGGGAAGGTGTTTAATGCAGCACCCTGAATTCAGCTTCAAAGTAGAATATATCTGGTGATTATTTTTTATTTTTTGTTTAAAAATTATTTTAAAATGTAATTGTTTAGATGGACAGGTTTATATTTACATGGACCTTATCATTATGACCAGGTTATATTTTACATTTAATAATATTTTTTATCATTGATTTCTTTAATGAGGTAATATATAGATTTTAGAGTTAGGTTAGACTAACAGTTCTGTCCACCAACTTGTAACCTTGTTTGAATTAGTTTCCTAGGGCTGGTGTAATAAAATATTGCAAACTGGGTAGCTTAAAATGACAGAAATTCATCCCCTCACAGATTTGGGGGCTAAAAGTACAAAATCAAAGTATCTGCAGGGCCATGTTCCCTCTGAAGGGTCTAAGAAAGAATCTTTCCTCGCCTCTTCCTAGCTTCTGGTGGTTGCTGGTAATCTTTGGCATTCCTTACATTAACTCTAAAAGGCCACTGCTTAATATCCCCGCAGATGTTAATGTAGATTTTTAGATAAATAATATAGTGCTCAGAAATCGCTTTTATCTTAGAAAAGTGTGATGTATTATAATACGAAAATAAAACTGGAGCACCCCTGTAGAACATGAAAGTGGATCTTCACTGTTAAAGATCCATGTTAAAGGAAAGGAGTGTTACATTTTAAAAGAATTTAAAGAATATAAATAACTGTTTGTCTCTCTACTCTGGAAAAAAAAAAGATGGCTCGCTCGCTTCCACCTCATCCAAGGAAT